TATAGAAAAGAAACACCGCAAGCCAGTTCGTGAAGTAATCAATCGACTGAATAGAGCAAACTTCCGACTCAATCACAACAAGTGTGCCTTCGTGGTCAAAGTGGTCAACATTCTCGGGGTGAAAGTCACCATACAGTGACTCAAAGCAGACCCTGAAAAACAGAAAAGAATGATGGACTGGCCAATACCCAGAACAAAAAGAGATCTGCACAAAGCAGTGGGACTAGCAAATTACATGCGCGACCATGTCCGCAACTTTGCCCACACATCGAAACACTTTCGGAACCTAATGAAAGGAAAAATGAACAAGAACATATCCATGTTATGGACTCCGGAACTAAAGAATTGGGAAGAACTCAAAGAAGCCATCGCCTGTTCAGCGGTACTAGCATACCCTGTCGATAGGGTACCGTTTCAAATCATGAATGATGCTAGTGACTATGGTATAGGAGGATGTTTATTTCAAGTCATCGATAGAGTTAGAAGAAACATTCTCTATTTCTCAAAAGGTTTGAATCCAGCACAACAACGTTATGGCACAAATACTAAAGAGCTACTAGCACTGGTATACAGCTTGGAACATTTCTCTGAATACATCAAGGGGGGGACATAACACTGTGGACAGATCACAAAGCGCTCACGCAAATAAACAGTCAACAGACGTTATAAAAACGTTCCACCACCACTTCTCCCTCATACATGTCCCAGGCAAGGATAACCAGATGGCAGACATGTTGTCGCGTCTACATGAAGACACTTTTAATACTAAAACTTCAAAGGTAATACAAAAGGCGAATGAGACAACACAAAATAGCCAAGAGTACACCACCTTGGAAACAAACATGCCCATGACCATATCAGCCATAGACTTGATGTTAAACCCCAGATTCTACCAAGAAGCTGAAAGACGGTTTGGGAAGTTCACAGTGGATCTGTTTGCATCGGCACACAATGCACACACAGATAAATACTACACCAAAGAACATAATGTGCTACAAAAAAAGTGGGCGCAGGAAGTGAATGTATGGGCGAAACCACCATGGGAACTCATACCTGATGTCCTTGACAAAGTCATTGAAGAAGCAACCAGCATCACGATATGTGTACCATACTACCCCAATGCAACGTGGTTTCCAAAATTCTTGTCTTTACTAGAAGAAGACCCGATGCTAGTGGGGAACACAAATAATACTTTCCTCAAAGAAAGCAAGAAGGCTTGTGACAAGACCCCATGGGGTGTCACATTAGTCGCAAAGATCGGAGTGAAGTCTCCATACTTTGACTCAACGCGGGAACAACCTGCCATACACGTTGCAGCATCACAACTACTGCAATCTGGAGATGCACCGCAGGCAACAGAATACGAGACATGTACATCATCGAGCAATACCACATGGACACAACACCCCTGAGGAATCGGTAAGCAAATTGCAAACAGATGGACATGATTTGCCTCAGATCCAACATGTACACAAATTCATCGAAGGATGCGTACCATGTCTCAAAAAAAACCCCCTCAAAAATGAATTCCATCCCTTACAATCAATAACAGCCGCATTTCCAGGCGACAGAGTCCAAGTAGACACCATTGGGCCACCAATCGGACTAAAATAGAGGACACGTATATGTGCTAGTATCGCTAGATGTGCACTCATCGTATGCCATACTACTACCAACAATGGACAAATCAGCGGCTACTATAGCACGCACACTGGCATCAATCATGTGTGAAATTGGGTTCCCACAAACCATACAGACTGGCCAAGGCACTGAATATGTTAACGATATACTTTCAAAAGTCGTTGAAGAAGCGCCGACACAACACCTAGTCTCTCGGCCGTACCAACCTAAAGTCTTAGGCACAACACCTAGTCTCTCCGCCGTACCAACCTAAAATCTTAGGCGCGAACGAACGATTACATAGAGACCTTGTACCACTGTTACGGAAAATTTCGTATTTTTGCAGCTACTCTTTATACTCTACAAAATAATCAATCGACATACATACTTAAAAACCGAATAAATGAATATAAAATACCTTTCATATTCTTGCTTGTATTTGTCTCCTCGTGTTATGCTTTGTTCTGAGACTTCCAGGATTCACAGGCGTAATCAAATCCTGTAGAAGCTGAATGCTATTGGAGTCGGCGATGTCATCCTGGTGAAAACCCTCGAAGAATGTTGATCTTTCATCTCTTGTCATAGGGAAATATACGTGATAGCATCTCCACTCTCTCAATTTTAGAGCTTTGGAACCTGTGAGTAAGTTTGCTCACGAGTTCTTACCGGGGGGGGCAATCCTGCAACCCTGAAGTTTCATTGAGCTCAGATCAACTCGTGCTTCTCTGTATGTTCTGGTCATTGTCGTATTCATACAAATCCTCTATTGAGATACTACCATCGGTCAGAAACATATCCGTATCAGATTCTGATCCTGTCGTAGACCTTGCTTCTGAATCGGCACCCAAACTGATGTTGTCATTGATGATCTCTCTCGTACATTCGTAATCCCGGTTCTGGTCCACAACACTGGATTTGCTCTTGTCTTTCTCCAAGATTATTAAATTAATATCTTTTCCATTTTACAAATCAGATATTTAGATTCGGCCCATGAATTGGCCCATTATAATGCCAAAGACGATACTTGTAGTAGACCTATTTAAAGACCTATTAAATTCTTCAAATATATATATCTGAATACTTCGGTAGCGAGATGGCTCAACCGAACATAGTTTTCTAGGGACTATTACAGTTTCCTAATTTATCCTCCGTTCAGCCAACCAGATTGCCGATGATAGTTATTATGATCAATACAATACAATCGTTTGAAGATAGGATTTTGCGAGTCCTTCGAATTGGCCCAACGAAAATTAGTTATAGTTTCGTCTAGACAAACAACGAAAAGATCAATAAAATCTCTTCGGCGACATTAGTACTGGGAGGATTTACAATATGTATATGCAATGCCTCAGCCTTTTAATCCCCCAGAGTATTAATGTTTTCACGAGGCATACCTAATCTTATTATTTAACTGCCTTCTTATACTTCACTTTTAAATTGAACTCTGATACTTCAGATATATTAACAGCTTCACGGCGTTAATTTAGCATCTAGGAACCAGATTATCAAAAAGCCAATCCAAAACCTATAACCACAGAATCATCAAATTAGTGTCTTCAGAAATATTGGCGGTAGAACCGGTAAGCTGAACCGGGACCCCGCGTGTGAGAGAAACACTCAAGTAAAAACATGAGTCTAGTGAATTAGGAAATTAAAATAAATACTCAATTCGGTTATCTCATTCTGGGCCTTGATACGTTTGTATGATTTGTGGAAAGCTTTGTTCAAACATGATTGGAATAGTGTTCGTGCGACTGTCGCAGCTGATTTTTCCATCATTGATCTATGTATGGCATATGATGAGTGCACATCGAGGAAAACTAGGACGCATGTGCTGTCTCTATTCGAGTTGATCAAGGGACCGATGGTGTTCACTTGTATTTTGTCGCCCGGAAATGCGGCTGTTATTCGTTGTAAAGGTGGAAGCCCTTTTTGTGGATTTGTACTTGAGACATGGTACACAGCCTTCAATGTATTGGTTTACATGTTCTTTCTGGCGTGACCATGTGTGGCCATTTAGTTGAAGTTTATTCACTGTTTCTTCGACAGTGTAGTGGCCCACAGAGTGGTATTGAGATATCAGGGTAACTCTATCCTCAAATGTGACTGTGTCTAGCTCTGCCGACTCATCATCGGTTTGTACCGACACGATCTTTATAGCTGGATGTGCTAGTTTTTGGTCAAAGCATGGTGACTTTGTGCCTATCTTTGCTACTAGTGTGCCCACCAATGGTGTTTTGCCACAGACTGTCGTGCCCTCGTTCAGAAACGTGTTGTTCGTGTTTTCGACTATCATCGGGTCTTGTTCTAACAGTGACAGGAACTTGGGGAACCACGTTGTATTTGGGTAGTAAGGTACGCATATTGTGATTCTCGTGGCTTCCTCTATGACTTTGTCAAGAACGTCTGAGATTAGCTCCCAGGGGAATACGCCAATGCGTTTATTTCCTCTGCCCATTTTTGTAGTAATGCATTCTGTTCTTTAGTGTAGAACTATGCTGCTACTAATAAATCGATGACGAATTTTACAAACCTGCGTTCTGCCTCTTTGTAGAATCGTGGATGTAGTTGCCAGTCTATGGCAGATACTAGTATGGGCATGTTTGTTTCAAGGTCAGTGTATTGTTGACCATTGTGTGTATGCTCGTTGGCTTCATTCAACACATTTGATGTTTTGATGTTGAAGGTATCTTCGTACAATCATGATAGTATGTCGGCAAATTGGTTGTCTTTTCCAGGCACGTGTATGATTGAGAAGTAGTGATGAAATGTTTTGCTATCCACTTCGCTAACATGGGATGCAGCGTTTGCTGCTTATTCATCTGGCATAGTGCCTCGTGATCTGTCCACAATGTTATATCGTCTCCTTGGATGTATTCCAAGTAGTGTTCCTGACTGTATACCAGCGCTAGTATCTCTTTCGTAATTGTCCCATATCTTTATTGTGCGGGGTTTATGCCTTTTGAGAAATAAGTATATCTCGTCTGACCCCGTCTATGATTTGAAACATGCAGCCTACTATGACATAACCACTTGCGTCATTCATGATTTGGAATGGTACTCCATCAATTGGATATGCCGATGTTGCTAAACATGCGATGGCATCTTTGAGTTCTTCCCCTTTTTTAATTAGTTCAGGTTTCCAAATATTGGCTATGTTCTGGCTCAATTTTCCTAGCATGAGATTGTGGAAGTGTTTCGTTGCGTGTGCAAACTGGGGTATGTGGTCCCTCATGTAGTTTGCTAATCCGACTTTAGTAAAGACCAGCCAATCATGCGGTTTTTTTGTTCGGGTTCTCTTTTGAGCCCCTTTGTTGTAATTTCGACGCCTAATTTATTGACTGTCTTGACTGCAAACGCACATTTGTTGTGGTTTTACCTGAAGTTGGTCGCGTTGAGTCTTTTGATGACTTCTCGTGCTGTCTCTCTGTGTTCCTCTTCTGTGAGGCTGGCAATGGCTATGTCATATACATATACTTGTACGCCTTTAATGTCAATGAGTAGATTGTCCATGACTCTTTGGATTGTGCTGTTAGCGAGTGCAGTCCAAATGGGGCTGACTTAAATGAGTATTGTGCTCTTCTCCATGAAAAAGAGAAGTAGTGTTGGCTATTTTCGTGTACACAAAAATGGTGGAAGCCTTCTGTTAAGTCCAATTTGGAAAAGAATTGTGCACCTTGTAAGTTGTGAAGTACTTATTTCATTTTCGACGATACGAATTTGTCTTGTTCATGTTGATAATTAACTTCTCTTAAGTCCAAACATATGCGGACTTTCTTTAGTAAGCCTGTTGGTTCAAATTCACCTGTTGACAATAGTGGTAGTATGACTTGTGTCGGTGCTGTTCTTTTGTATATGTGACCCTATTTGACACAATTTTGAACATTGTAATCTGTTTTTGGTATGTATATGTGAGGAACAAGGTTCACTTTAGCGTGTCGGATATTTTGGTTTTGACTTCTTGGCTCGGTTGATCTCCACTACTGACCCTGTAAATCACAGTGTACGTCAAGTGGGATCATGCCGTTTTGGTATACGTCTGATAGTGATTCTCTGAACCCTTCTTGTTCGTGTCCAGTGTCTTCTTCATGTGATATAAGAAGTGATTCCCGTTTGGTACCTGTTGGTATGAGTGGATTGATTATCACCGCTAGATGTATACCCAAGTATGGTAAAATATCTATACCTAAAAGTATTGGTGACTACTTGTTAGAGAGGTCGAGTACCTCAGAGCAGTTTGATGATTTTATACCGCTGTAGTTTACATCACATACTTCTGTTGAGCCTGTGCGTTGTACTCGTGCGTCAGATTTGGCTAGCTGTATGTAGCCAGGTTGTGTTTGACTGATAAATTTAGTTCAGTCCCTACACTGCGATCCATGCACAAGCGTAGTGCACCTGAATCAACTAGTGCGTTGTATGTAGTGCCATTGATTTGTATGTCTATGTGCAATCGTTGGTCTCGTGTGTTAGGAATTAAAGAACAAGGTGTGTAAGCAATATCATTTGCATTTATTAACAACGTTTCTTCATTAGTGTGTGCCTTCACAATGTCTACCATGTTTACCATTATAGCTTCCGCCCACCAAGCCTGTCAAATTTCTTCGTCCATCTCTTGGACCTTGTTGCCATTAGTAATGGTTAACTAGTCCACATGATGGATGGGTTGAGATTGCTGCGCTGCACGCGCTATTGTCTTCTGGCGGTTGCTTTCTTCCTCATTGGGGGTTGCTTTCTTCCTCATTGGGGCACTTGCTGAACGCATGTGGCGAAGGGCCTGTACCACAGTGTGGGCATAGTCTTAGACCTCGCGGTGTTGGGTTGTTAGTGCCCTGTCCGATGGGACGTCCTCTGCCTTGTCCTACTTGTGGTCCAGCCTCTCTGGGTGGACTCACCCCTCTGAGTGAACTCCCTGTGGATATGCCAAGTCTTGGACGATTGACTCGTTGGTCTGGGATGAATGCAGTTCTCACTCTTTTGTTCTCACTCTTATGCGTTCACGATTGCGATTAGCCTGTGTTATCGTTGCTTGTCTGATGGATCTTCCGTGAGTTCATGGAATACCTTCTCTGTATGTCAGATATGTGTCCACTACTACTATCAGGCTTCGTTTGAGCCTTTATTATCTTGTCAGTCTCAGCTTGCTGTCTATACATGACTAGTGAGAGGGAACAAAATGTTTTGAGAAGTTACCAATTGATGAACTCTCTCTCAGTGCTCTTGAACTGTTTCTCCAGCTCAAGCATTGTGTGACGCAATCGTGCTGCTTGTATTCAACGTTCAAGTGACTGTCATGGAAGTCGTTGTGTAGCATCTAGGGACCAGATAATAAAAGGATGGTCAAATATTGAGTTTTGGAATTAGGATTAATAAATTCCTGACATTAGAGTCATCAGCAGTATTAGCGGTAGAACCGGTAAGATATACCGGGACTCCGCGAGTGAGAGAAACACTCAAGTAAAAAGCCTGAGTCTTGTGAATTAGAAAACACAAATATAGACTCAGTTCGGTTCTCTCAGACTAAGGTCTTTTCCTAGCTGATATAACCGTACTTGAGAAGAGGTCCATTGTATCGTTTCGCTCGTATCCTTCAGCTACTCTCTACACTCTACAATACTGCCATGAGGTGGTCCATGTGTTTTACAAAGTCGATACCCGGTATGCCCTGGGACAGTTGAAATTCCAAGTATTTGGAAGGCTGTGGATATATGTCAGAGAGTTCCTCGCCATGGTATGGGAGGGGTAAGTAGGCATCTGTTGAAGTGTTCGCATTTGTGGAGCCTACTAGCGTTGGCGTGATGAGATGTCCTTTGATACGGAGAGGCGGTACCGCATGCAGCATACTTGACGATATCTTTCGGGGCTTAATATTCCCTTGTCTTAGACCGGAATGACGACCCCATTCATCGATCGGGTTCAGGAAGGGTTACAACCGAACAGACTGCGGAGCCTGGATGCGTGTGTCATCTACAAAGAGGGGTTTTAGGGTTCAACCACAAACAGATGCACGAATACAAAGAATAGTGCCAACACAAGTATGTGACATTAATTATGGAGGTAGGAAAACCTCTCAGTGCATCGAAATATTGAAATTACCAGACAAGAAGGCACCAATACTGCTAGGTATGTACATTCTACCATACATAGTTGGATACACAGCAGGAATAAAAAATACACTTATTCCAACAGATGCAAAATGGGAATCACTATTCACTCCACATGAGAAAGACCCAGAGCACGAACAAGTAGGGTTCAGAGAATCACTTGCAAACAACTTAGAAACCAGTGCAAATATACCTCCTGCCGTACACTGCAACTTGCCAGGTTCCAATATCACTGTGAGATCAATGTCAGACAAATGAGGCATGCCAAAGGAAACTCAGTACCACTTACGTACCTTCCATAAAATGGATGAAAATGGGAACTGTTGGCTTACAGATGGTCATATATACAAATGAACAACACCAACAACTGTGAGCATACCATTGTTATCACAGGTGGACATGACCAAACAGGTATCCTCAAGAAGGTAAGAAGATGCTTAGACTTAAGCGAGATCAATTACCAATACAAGTGAGAAAGTATTGCACAACCTTAAAGGAGCACAATTGTTCTCGAAACTAGATCTCAAGGGGAGGGGGGGGGGGGGGTTCCACCACTTCCTAGTAGATGAAGTTAGCAGACTCATGAAGAGGAGCGCAATAATCATTCAAATTAGCGCCATTCGACCTGCACTCACTCACAGCACAATTCCAGGGAGTCATAGCAAACTTGCTCATGGACAGTAGAGTGCAAGTGTACTAGTCATTGCATGTCTCACAGAGGAACATCGCAATCTGCTGTGAATATGCCAAGCCTTTTTTTAGCTTCTTCCAGTCTATAACTGATATTATTATTGGCATGTTTATTTCCAAGGTGGTGTATTCTTGGCTGTTGTGTGTTGTTTTGTTCGCGTCTTTTTTAATACATTCGACATTTTGGTATTAAAAATACCGTCGTGTAGACGTGACAATATATTTGCCATCTGGTTATCCTTGCCCGGGACATGTATGATGGAGAAATGGTGGTGGATTGTTTTTGCTATTCATTTGGCTAGCAGTGGGTGTAACGTCTGTTGACTGTTCATTTGCGTGATCAGTTTGTGATCTGTTCAAAGTGTTACGTCCCCTTCTTTGATGTATTCAGAGAAATGTTCCAAACTGTATACCAGGACTAGTAGCACTTTAGTGTTTGTGCCATAGCGTTGTTGGGCTGGGTTCAAGAATTTAGAGAAGTAGAGAATGTCTCTTCTGACTCCATCTATGACCTGAAATAAACATCTTTCTATGCCATAGTCACTAGCGCTGTTCACGATCTCAAACGGTACCCCATCAACAGGGAATGATAGTGTCGCCGAACATACGATGGCTTCTTTGAGTTCTTCCCATCCGGTGTCCATAACATAGATCTGTTTTGGTTCATTTTCCTTTTATTAGGTTGCAGAAGTGCTTAGTTGTGTTGGGAAAGTTGAGGACATAGTCACGCATGTAGTTTGCGAGTCCCACCGCTCTGTGCAGATCTCTTTTTGTTCTGAGTAGTGGCCAGTCCATCATTCTTTTCTGTTTTTCAGGATCAGTTTCGAGTCCTTGTTTCGCGTCTTTCACTCCTAGAATGCGACCACTTTGACCGCAAAAGCACATTTGTCGTGGTTGAGTCGGCGGGAGTTTACTCCGTTCAATCGTTTAATTATTTTGTGATGTTTTTCTTCTGCGAGGCTTGTAATAACTATGTCATCCACGTACACTTGCACTCCTTTAATGTATATGAGCAAGTTTCCCATGACTCTCTGAAATTGTGCTTGGAGTGAGTGCAGACCGAATGGCGCTGACTTGAATGAGTATTACACTCATCTCTACGAGAATGCGAAGAAGTGCCTGCTAGCTTCATCAACTAGGAAGAGGTTGAACCCCCCCCCTTCCCCGTGAGATCTAGTTTGGAGAAAAATTGTGCTTCTTTAAGGTTGTGCAATACTTCCTTGCTCATATTGGTAATTGATCTCGCGTAAGTCTAAGCATCTTCTCACTTTCTTGAGGAGACCTGTTTGGTCATGTCCACCTGTGGACAACAATGGTAAATTCACCGTTGCTGGTGATATTCATTTGTATATGTGACCATCTGTAAACCACCAATTTTACATCTTCATTCGTTTGTGGAATGTACTTGTGTGGTACAAAAATTTCTTGAGGAGTTGCACATGTATTGGCTCCTTGTCCGTATTTCTGTATCGCTCCTCTAACACCTGCATTGTCCTATACATACGCTCTGTACACACTTTCACATTCAGTGCCTTGTTCTCTATGTCATTGAGAAACTTCTCTGATAGATAGTCTACTGGGTGATGCCTGAGTCTACCAATAGTGATTCTATTGAATTGCTCTGGATCAGAGTAATTCTTTGTGCTCTACGTCTCCGAGTCACGTATTTCATTGAGGACCCCCTTGGTATTGTCAGTTGCATCAGTGAAATCTAATAGATATCTCACTAGTGCTGGATACTGACATAGTGGCATGGACTTAGCTAGAAACTGGTCTCAACACTGCGTAGTAAACTTTATATTGTCTTCACAAATTTCATTTTGAAAGAACTATCTCTCAATAATTTCGAAAATTTGGAGGTCTTTAGTAGTTTAGATAATGCTGGTGCCTTAACCTTGTAACCTAAGCGTGAACGCATGATTTCTAGCTCGTTAATGCTTTGACTAATTTGAATTACTTCATCCTCATCGTCATCACCACACGCATTGATACATTGATCGTATCTCTTTCTGAGCTCTGTGTTTACCAGAGGTATGCGACGCTCGTGTTGCTGATCATAAATACCTACTCTCATCTTGTGTAGACTTGCGATAGCTACAGGTGCTGTTGCTTCTAGCTTGGAGATGAACCTACTGGCCAGGAAGTAGTTGCCTTGACAAATGCTCTTGTCTATTTCTAATTGCATTGCTGACGCCTGAATTGGTACCCCCTCAGATGTTTGTAGACTTGAGCTACGACCTGGGGTTGGCTCACCTGCTGGTCTGTTGTCCATGCCATGCATGTTGGTGTCATCGCCGTCTCCGCCATACACCCCTGCTCTGGTTGCTGTCGGCATCTTAAATTGTCTGTGGTGGTGTATGTGTTGCATGGTATTAGTAACGACTTGTGTTATATTCGTTCTGAATAAATGCTTCATCCCCCTTGTCTTTGCTGGTAACTTGTGTAAAAATAAATATCTGATTCATCTTACTTACCTTTGTTGCTAGTACGTTTTGCTGCACTTTCGTGTGAAGAGTTTACAGATATGTGTTGATTGGTAGCTTGTTGTATTCCTTTTGTGATTGGAAATGAGTTTCTGTTGTTTATTGGTCAAACTTATTTCGTCACGTATGAAGTTAGCACGACATATTTCGTCATGTGTGATAATAGTATTATTTGTCATATGTGATAATAGTATTATTTTGCCATATGTGGTCTTAGCTAGACTTTTTTCTCATGTGAGGTCTTAGCCTTGATTTGACACGTGTGCTGACGTGATAGTATTGTCTTCGCCTGTGATGTTCGGTCTTATTGACATCACCTGTGTGTATTTTTCAGTCCTGCACCAAACTGTGTTGATGTTAGTGTTTGTGTGTATTCTTTGTACCCATTGCTATTATTCATGTGCATCAATACCTGTTTTAGCGCTTTCTGATTTTCATGCTAAAATTTGATATTCAATCTCTTGTTTATGGATGCTGCTCTCATTCATCCGTTTGTTTTATTGAGCGTGTGTAATGTTGGATACTAATTGTTCCCTTGTTTTGTAGTTATCAGTATGTGGCGAGTACTCTTTTATTTGCCGACGTATTTAATATTCATTATTCCTTTTGCATTTCGATTTGTCGTCGTGTGATCGATTCTCAGGCTATATCGTGGAAAATCGGACCCAAAACTCGTGAATTTGACGATTCTGTGGTTTTCGGGTTTGTATTGGCTTCTTGATAATCTGGTCCCTAGATGCTGCACAGCGATATTTAAATTTGGATCATATCAGATTATTTTGCTAATGTCATCTGCTAGTAGGCGGTACCACGCAAGTACGATGTCGCTCGCTCATGAATGACACTTGACGTTTAAAGAGGTATAAAATCCGCGCAAGACTAATACACATTTATCACTTCCCTCGCCAAAACTGTTCGCGGAGATGAATTTACTAGTAGTCTCCATCATATCACTATACTTAGACAGCACACACACACAAGCATTCTTGTGTTTATCAGAAGCGAGCCAAAGAACAATGGACATATAGAAGAGCAATTCAGCTTGATAGTGATATCACACCGGGGCGTGCAGCACGGAACAGAGAGATGCACAGAATCCATGTCGTTTTGGATAATGCCGTTGACTCGGGTGATGACTAATTGGCTGGACAAGCTATATGCTTTGAAGGCTGAAGAAACTTTGAGATCAGAGGCTTCCACAAACTCAAAAGTACATTTCATACTCAGGCACTAAGATTACTCTATGCCAGTAGTGGATGAATGGCCATTGACTGTGATAAAGAAGACCACGATGAATGCATCGCAATTAGCGGGTTTGTTAGCGAGTTGGGGTTAATCAGATTGCGCACGGGTGACTAGACCGATATGCATGTGATGTACAAGCTACTGAAGTTGTACAAGCTTCCGAAGTTACCAAAAGGCAGGATCTTCAATATGGGTGAATCTTGTTAGGATGCTATTGCGTTTGCAACACTGACCGAAGACTTGTTCTTAGAAAAGAGCATGTCACTAGAACAGCACTTATCTCTAATACAAAAGCTGTTGAAGCAAATTGACGTTAATGAGGTCAAATTGATGCCAGCCCAGATTTGTTAAAAGAGTGCACTCGTGTAGATGATTACAATTGCTAATATTGACTCAACTCTGCGTCGAAATCCAGTCTGATTCGATGACCTACATGATGTAAGTTTATTGATGCCAGCCCAGATTTGTTAAAAGAGTGCACTCGTGTAGAGGATTACAATTGCTAATATTGACTCAACTCTGCGTCGAAATTCAGTCTGATTCGATGACCTACATGATATAAGTTTGAACGTGCAGATGCAAGCTGAGCATTTGTATATTGCATATCAACAGGAACGAACTTGACAAGCGTTAGAAGCTAACTGAAAGTGAGCCCTCGGAAAGGAGAAAGCAATCGAATGAAAGCTTTGGAACGTAAACGTGCGGCACAGAACAATCAAGAGAATACCAATGTGGGACAAATAGTCATCACCCATGGTATTAAGTTTGGAGAGACGGATGATAAATTTTTCAAAGCAGTGGTGGGCGGAAGTTATTATGATAATATGGTGGACATAGTGAATGCAGACACAGATGATGAAACGTTGTTAGTAAATGTAAATGACGTTGACCTACACACCGACTTCACTGCTTCTTAACCACGAGACCAACGATTCCATATAGGCATATAAATCAATGGCAATCCTTACAATACCTTGGTAGATCCAGGAGCACAACGCTCATATATGTAGGAATTGAAATATTCCTATCAGCCACAGCGAGATCGGATTATATTGCACGAACATATATCTGAGTACAACGCACAGGCACAACAAAAGTATGCGAAATAATTTATGATAAAGAAAAAGCTGCTCACTGTTTTGAGGTACTCGATCTCCCTGACAAGTATGCACACTTAGATACACATAGAACAAGGGAAATAAATCTGCTAATGCCAATGACGCCAAATGGAAATCACTACTGAGACCACATGAGAAAGATCCAGAAGACAAACAGAAAGGGTACAGAAAGGGTTCAAAGAGTGTCTCGCAGACCTATTATAACAAATACATTAACCCTTCAGATGTACATTGCCAAGGATTACGGTGGGAATACCGAGCAACGAAATCAACATTAAACAGATAAGCGATGCAAGAGTAAACTTTATGCCACACAAATACAAACACCAAAAGACGAAAACGTACAAAAGCGAGTTAAAGATGGACACATATATAACCGAGCAACACCAACACAAGGGAACTTGCCACTAATCTCTACAGACTGAACAGGACCAAAATAGGCTTGTTTCTGGACTGATATGTCTGGAGTCACGAGAGATCAACTATCAATATGAACAAGATAAGTTTGTATTAGCAAAAGTAAAAGAGGTACTCCGCAACCTAGAAGGAGCCTAATTCGTTTCCAAACTAGATTTAACGGGGCTTTAATCACTGCTTATTTGTTATCTCTTCACATTCTCGTGGAGAGGGGCTCATTACTAGTTTAAACCAACACCGTTTGGTTTATATTCACTAACAGCACAATTCTAACGAATCAAAACATATTTGCTCATAGGCATAAAAGAGACACAAGCGTAAGTGGATGACATAGTCATCCACTTTGATCAAAAGACTGAACCAGGCGAACTTCCGTTTGAACCACTTGAAGTGCGCTTTCGCAGCCAAGACCGTTAACTTACTGGGGTGCAAGTTACAACTCAAGGACTGTTACTGAGTAACAGAAACGAATGATGGACTGGTCAACTGCACAGAGCCGTGAGACTTGCCAACTATATGCAAGACTATATTCCACAGTTTGCCAACAATACGGAGCATTTCTGACATCTTATGAAGGGAAAGATCAACTAGAACATGTCTAGTATGAACCGCGGAACTGAAGAGGAAGTGGGAAGAGCTAAAGAATGCCACAGAGTGCTCTGCCGCACTAGCGTATCCGATAGCCGGAGCCCCGTTTCAAATCATGAATGACGCTAGTGACTATGACACAAAAGATGTTTGTATCGAAGTCATTGATGGGGTCCGAAGAAACATACTATATTTCTCAAAAGGACTAAACTCTACACAACAGTGTTTTGGTACAAACACGAAATAACTACTCGCACTGGTTTACAATCTGAAACACTTTTAGAATACATAGAGGGTAGTGACACAATGTTATGAACGGATTACAAAGCTTTAACACAGATGAGCCAGCAACAGACCCTACACCTCATGCTATTGAAATATATAGCAATGATACCACCACCACTTCACCATCATACGTGTGCCAGGTAAAGATAATGATATGGTGGACAGGCTGTCTCGTTTACACGAAGACACATTCAACACAAACTCCTCAGAAGTATCAAGCGAGGCGAGCCCCTTTTTAGAATACATAAAGGGTAGTGACACACGGTTATGAACGGAATACAAAGCTTCAACACAGATGAACCAGCAACAGACCCTACACCTCATGCTATTGAAATAAATAGCAATGATCTTCCACCACCACTTTACCATCATGCATGTGCCAGGTAAAGATAATGATACGGTGGACAGGCTGTCTCGTTTACACGAAAACACATTTAACATAAACTCCTCAGAATTATCAAACGAGGCTAACAAAAACACACAACACAATCTCGCGTATTTGACCGAATAATCGATTAGCCACAATGATATTAGAATCCCCTTCATGCGAGTTACTATGATGTGAAGGGGACCAAATCGACAAAGATAAATGTTGAATCTAGTTTTAAAAAGTACGTCATAAGGGTTTTGTCTCTATCGAATGTCGATTCATAGCGTATAAAGCAGGAGGAACCATAATGCATATTTCAACTCAAATTGTTCGGTTAGCGGTTTATGTCAAGCGCTGAAACCGCTAACCGCTGCGGATCTCTTGTTGAGTGATTAATAGTTTACATGAGCCGGGTTTCATATATCGAATGTGATACCTTTAGACTTTCACGTGTTGAGTCGTTTTCATAGGAGAGAGTATACTGTGGATTCGCACCACTAACACTGTGGGTAATGACGGAGCATTCGCCAAAGCTCGACAATAGCGGCCTCGTGTGGTCAGATAGAAAAAAAAAGTTTGGATGTCGCACATTCCAATCAGGGATAATTTATGTTAAGGAAATATCACAATAAAATGCAGTGGCGTATAAATATTGATGTACATGCCGTTTTTGGTGCACATGCCTTTGTATCCGATTAGTTCATCTATATTGCCGTACTACAACCCACGATAGTAGAGGACAATAATATCGACAGAAGAATTCAGTTGTAGGTTTCGCCAGTAAAATTCAACGTATGATACAAGCACCGGTAAGAGGAGCTCACAGATTATCCCGAGTTTTATGGATTTTTGTGCCGAAGTTCTATACGCTGATTTTAATTTTTAAATTCGTCGGCAATGAATCGACTGATTTAGAACTATGTCATCGCCGTATTTCGACAGTTTTCCATACACAAGCGATATGTTTAGACTTACAAGCCATACTCCCAACAGAAGTGGTACACCATTGTATCATTAAGTTGGAGTACAAGCCCCCCCCCTCGAGACTGCTGTTGGTGCTGACGTTGTAGATTCGTGGAGTCGTATTGATTTACTCTCAAGCTAAAGCGAGTGAGACAAGTCTCAATAGCATAGCGGACGGGTAGACAATGCTTTACTTGTAATCGTAATAATCATAAAAGCTGAACGCATTGCGATAATTGCGACGATCGTGGTCCGAACACAGCAACTCTATAATAGGAGTTTATCTGCGTTGCGAAGAATAGCACGAGGCTCAGTATTGAGAGAGGTGGATTAGTCAACTATTGTTGTTCGTACAAATAACTATACTAGATCAACTTTCTGCAACAGTTAACCAAGTCTTACACGATAAAAAGAACACACTTGAGACAAACAGATTGAACGCTCGTATCATATGAATCACGTGAAGAACAGAAACATTTGTTTATCTTTAGAAATTGGGTTGTCCCGGAACAAGCCAAAGTCGCTGGAGGCTTGATGTATGGTATCGGTGGGGCTATGGAGAGGAAATACACAATGTTGGCTCAGACTGATGACTTGTCTGACTTCTGCTTCATTGTGATTTTGTCTCCCAGACTCAGTGCGATTCCCTGTAAGTGAGTAAAGAAGTATAGTTGTTCATGTGCATTGGCGTATAGGAGATGGTTACCCAAGAAGGATACCACATTTAAACAAAAACCCAAGGCCACACACATGAATAACTAGTAACTGAAAGCATACTTAATCATTTTCTAGTATTCATAAGATCAGACCTAGTTGACAAGCACGGCCAGAAATGATAAAGTAGTAGCCATAGATATGACAATCGGCACACCGGAAATTCACGCGTATGCGGTAATCAATATAGAATACACACGAGCGCTTCTGTAAAATTTCAAATACATTTGATGATCACGTATAGACGGACTTTTTTATATAGTCCACACAACCAAGGAAATACTTGCATTTGTCCACTGCATACCTGAGCCTTAGCACGAATTCGAATATGGCCCACGATTCGGCCGTCTTTTGTCTTTTCAATTGACAAATTGGCCAACGCATCCTCCCCAAAGATTGATCTGTAGATTTATCGTCGAGAGAAGCACAGATGAGTTATAAAGCGGAAAATAATTGTGGCAAGAGGAAGTGCATCGTGAGATGGTTCATTAGGCGTTGAAGGGTCTATAGATCTTGATAGAAACAAATAAGATGACGTCCAAAAACCTCGATGAATTATTTTCAACCGAGCTTATGGATTATAGCTCTTTTAGCACCGGTTGTGTGCAATACGACTATACCGTGTATATACCTGGCATATAAATTGGCGGCGTAGAAGCCACAGTCGCCTCCCTTGGCACTCTCGATGGTGAGACATTTCATGTTTGTAGCCTTGCAGATATGTGCTGAGTAGTCCTCTAAGCTCTGGATGTCTGTTGATACGGTAACCTAGCGGATAGAGTACATGAAATAATAGATACATTAGGTACAAATTATCAACCAGTGTCACACAAATATTCCGTGAGATAAAACAATTGTCGCGGGCTTGATGACAAGGAGTGCAAGATTCAGAGGAAGAGGTTGATTCACTGCACGAGCAGCGTTGTACCGCCATACAAGTCGCAGGAGTGTTTGTTTTCTCCAGAATTAGATATATATATATATATACATATACACACATACGCACACACACACACATACATATATATATAATAAATATTTTTAAATTCATATGTAATGAACATCATATACACTCACCAGTACTGTATCTACATGAACATTCAGCTCTATAGCTAGCAAACGTATTAAACCGTTTGGATTTGAGCAAAACTCCTATAGTATGAGGAAAGCATATGTCCCTCGAATCTAAAAACTCTGTGTATGAATGTATGAATATCTAAATATACATCTACACAACACATAGAGTCGTAATTTCGCTCTCCAATCTCTGGAAGTCGGAACGCACCTTATTCTCCCACTCAAACTCGGCCCACATTTGTCTGAATACCGTCTCCGTGCACGAAGAGGGTACAATATAATCCATGACGTCAATGTAAATGTCATTCAGCACAATCACTCCGTGTTCTGATGTGCCACTGATATCGTATACGATGTGGCCGAAGATCAGTCCCGTGTCTGTAGAGCTCACCTGGAATGGCAAGCGAACAAAGACATATACATTATTCAACTATTACCCGGTGGTTGCACATACACCAGCATGTACAATATATTTATATATATACATATATCGTCGGACATGGGAAATACACGAATCCTCGCGCGAGTACGAAAGGATGTAGATACACTCGAGAAGAACACATGTCCACCCGAACAATATTGGTTCCCGAATCAGCAACACACGCGTGGTTTGCACGAGCGCTTTCACACTCGGTCGAGCACGCACCCTGGCTCAGGTAGTTATAACACAAGCTCGTTTTCTTTTCTGATCGTAAAGTACCTGTAGACGACATGTCCTTTACTTGTCTGGTAGGACAAACACATACATACGATTATAATTTCTATTTACATTCTAAGAGTATGTCTAGACTACATTTGATACGATTATGATATCTATTTACATTCAAAGAGTAAAAACAGACAACATTTAATACAATTATAATTGCTATTCACATTCAAAGAGTGTGAATAGACAAACATTTACCACAACCCTATATTTGTACCTGAGTTTCCAGGATTACAAACCATACGCTGAAATAGTTGTCAGCACATACCCAGTTGCTGTAGCATTGTGCACTTTGCTGACCGATAAATTCTCGTTGGCACGCACTTACAAACACATCTGCGATGGTCTGCATTTGACCTCTATACGTCGATATCAGAACCCAAAATTGTAGTACACACTTGTCAAAGGATAAAGGGAACAGAGAAGAGCCTCACTTTCATCCGACGTCCCTTTTTCTCTTCCAGCATCAGACGCAGAGATTATGGACAGACTTTTCAGTCGGGATGTTGCACACGTATATAAGGGGGAACAGAAAAACACACTTAAACATCATCGTACGACAGTACTACCCATACTCGAACACAGTCCGATCACATACACAAACACGCACATAGGGTACACATGAACATACAACGACACATAGACGCGTAAACACAGAGATACATACCCTACACACACTTATACATACAACACCACTTGCGTATTAAAACGCGCAAACACCACTTGCGTACTTAAACGCACGAACACAAACTTGGATACATACCATATACACATTTATACATACAACACCACTTTCTCAATGAAACCAACGGACAAAAGCATACAAACAATACACACAGTTACACTTATACATACAACACCGCTTGCGTATTGAAACGCACACCGACCTTTATGCTGGCGGTCAAGTTCACAAAGTCTCTTGCGCCCAAAGTAGTAATGACGGGCCTTTCCATCAACTTGAGATCACCGATTGTCGCCAGCTCCAGTGCCAAACCCTGGAACAATCAAACATCGTGGAATATTGAGAAAAGAGTAGCCCGAGCAGGTATATGACCCTTTTTCCGACAAAACGCATGTTATCTACATACACACACACATATATACTCAAAGCTAGAAATTCAAATGCGTGTAAGAAAGTCATTGGAATAAAGCTCGTCTTACAGCACACACCTGCAGAGTGTCGTCTGTTTGATTGACCATAAGTACGTCCAGGGTGATATCGTACTGGTTGACGTTTACATACGCCTCAGCGTACACTGGGTCGCCAAAGCCTGTGAGCTGTACCACTTTCTGTAGCGCTGAAGTGGTAGACACAGCAGAACCCCCTGTAGCCAGGGTCAAATCCTGCTCTAGATCATCGCCTGCGAGAAGGGCCCAGGTACGAAGCAAGGTGTAAGCATGATGACAGCGCAACAAAAAATAAAACAGCGCACAAACATCTAAGGTATGGTGTATACATACATACATACATGCATATATATATATACGTGTGTTTATGGTCGCGAATGCAGGCGATTTCACCCTGTAGCTCGAGTGTAGTCCTCCACTACATGATCGTTTGTAGAGCTACACTCAAAAAAAAAGAAGCTGGGTTTACATAAAGGTATGAAGTGAAACACATAAGGTTCGAAGATTTAAAGTGGCGAGGTTGTAAACGTGCATGATTGTGTGTGGTTGTTGGCACGGCCAGTCCAAAATTCTGCGTATAGTGAAGTATTGCACAAAATTGCACCATGCATATACTTACACTTGTAGAATCTTGCTGTTATGCACACACGTGCACAGTACGAACACCCCACTGTCGCCTCATCACTAACGAGACTACACAGATGTCCTAAAAGACCACTAGCTGTATCAGAGATACGTATCTCACTTCTCGCTGGTTGTATGTTGGTACATACCTATGTCATCTTCTTTGATACCCAGCTGGGTGAACTTGATCAACTGATCAACTTGAACCACCTTAGCGTCTGCCGGGTCATCAGAGTCAGCCTTCTTCTCTGCCGCTACCTGAGAGTGGTTGGGCGAGTGCGAATGTGAATTGATTTTCACTTGAGACATACACATACACTAAAATAAGATCGTTGAGATGGCATAGCTATCGTATGTTGCGGTAACGACAATGCCAGGTACATTGTATGGAGTGATGTATGTACAGAAATTATCCACATTCAATTAAACATACCAAGTCTTCCTGGATAGGTATATGAACATGTGCACGCATGCAATTAGAAATACGACCCTTTGGTCAGCGTACGCGAGCGCGCACCCACAAGCAATACGAGTGTCTACATATGTGGATCCCTTCCGCAACCATTCGCATACATAATTCACACTGATATATACAAAGATACACGGAATCAAGACATACACCCAATATCCACGCCCGAAAGTATGCGAATGAGATTTACGCATTTCTATTCCAAATATGCATACACATGGGGTCTTACCCTATCTAAATACACCCTCCCCCACACACCTTCGATAGCAGCTCTTTCAGTGCGCGCCTGCACTCGGTTGTGAAGACCTCGGTCGTTGTCTCGGAAGGTTCAGCCAGACATCGCAGACACACAGACACGCGCTCGTATGTGTCGTGCTCAATGGGCTGCGTGGGGATGCCGCTTCGGCCCAGGTGCATGATGGAAGCCATGATCAGCATGCACTGGGCAGAGTAGTGGTTATTCCTGTCCTGGTTGTCGTCTGTGGTGGACCTGTAGCGTGAGGTGGTGTGCATGTGTTTACGAATTTAGTGAGTGCGGGTATGCCTGACATCAGTTGGGGTGTATGTACACGTGAGGATCTCATGAGGTGTAGGAGAGTATGCTGGCGCCGAATCTAGTGAATGTGCATATAAGAGGATGCCACGTGATTGATTCGAGTGTGTGTATGAGGGCATGGCGCTGGTTGATGTGATGTGTATGTACATGTAAGGTAATCACGAGGAGTGAAGAGTGTGCACGCATGCACGATGCTAGTCGGTGTGTGTGTGCACATGCGGGAAATAGATGCGCCCCAGTCCATGTTAGGCCTATCCAGAATACTTGTGTGTGTATATCGACGGAGAGAACCAACATTCCACTGTAAATTACCTCGTTTGGCTCGCCCCTCTGCCGTATTCGATCTGAACGGTCTAAATGGTTGAGAACATCAGAGCAAAGCGATATATACGAGACACAGGTGTGCATTTCTTCTACTTCCCACAGACACTTAATTTTAGACTCTGGGCCCCACTGTGCTTCTGTAAATCGAGCTTGGTCAACACCCCGGCAAGGGTGGCTCCGAGACGATGTTGCCAGACAGCGCGAGGCTACGGAGGGCTATGCGCATACACAGTATATCTACTTGACGCATGCAGGTCTTTATGTGCACATATTCACACACTACCTTCGCAGTGCGAGCTTGGCCAATGCCCCTGCAATATTGGTGCCAAGACGGGGTCATCAAACCGCCTAAGGCCACACAAGGAGAATAGGATATGCACGGACACAAACATATACACACTACATCACCTTGACGCATACGTGTATATGTGCACATTTTAATACCGTACCTTCGCAGCGCGAGCTTGGTCAAAGCCCCGGCCAGAGTGGTGCCCAAGAAGAAATCTCCAGTGAGCATAAGGCTACGCAGAGATATGTCTGTATCCATCAGCTGCTCAGCCTTAGAGGGTGCGACACTGAATGCCGACTGTGTGACGTACGTGCCGTCTGCAGTCACACGCGACTTCGACCCGCGAGCCTCACGCGAGTTTTTGCGGGTTGCAGACAGATCTGAAGGATGGGGACGAGAGTTTACGGTTAGTTTATCATTTGTAAGTATGCCGCAATACATATGTGCACAACTCTAGGTCATTTACATAAATATATGTATATACGTATGTATGTATGTATGTATGTATAAACACACGCACACGCACATATATATATATATACATACAAACAAACATAGATCAGTACTCAAATGCAAATTGAATCAGAGCGTGCATGTAATATACACATATATGTGCATACTTATTACTAGACAATACTCACCATCGGGGGTGTCGCCATCCTCATCCTCGCCACCAATGGCCGCCGCAGCCTTGAGCTCGGATTCCACAATGGGCAAAGCCCCCACACTCTCTTGGAACGTCACCAGAGCTTGATCGATCTCCTCAATACTGAGGCAGTATTCTCCAAGCATCCACATGGTAGCACGAAAAATGTGAGCCGCTTTGACGTGTGCAAAGGTGGCGAGCAGACGCTCGACGATACTCTCTCTCAGTTGAGGGAAGAACTCGATGAAGTCACGCACACTGGCCACTACATCGGCGGCACTGGCGGAGTTGCTGTCCCCAATGAAGTCCATGAGAATCTGTATGCGCAACGGTGGAATAATGGCGGTTTGTTGTTGAGATGCTGATAGGTGGACGTGTGAGTAGTAATAGAATTTGGAGCTAGCCAGATGAGTGCGTGGAATCGGCGTTGCGTGATAGAGAATCATTGGCGACATTGTGAGATGAAATAGAAAGAGATCTAAGGCGTTGCGAACGAAGCAGTTGGATGCAGCTGAATCACAGTCTATGAAATCTGCGACAAGAGAACAAGAAATACAATATTTATACGATATATAATAATAAAATAAAATTATATATACTACATAGATATTTGTTTAATATATACTATATATACATACACACACACACATACATTTATATATATATACATACACACACACACATACATTTATATATATTCACACACACACACACATATATATATATATACATATGCACGAACATACAACTATACATGTACAGATGAAATAGAAAGAGATCTAAGGCGTTGAGAACGAAGCAGTTGGATGCAGCTGAATCACAGTCTATGAAATCTACGACAAGTGAACAAGAAATACAATATTTATACGATATATAATAATAATAATATATATATACTACATAGTTGTTTGTTTAATATATACTATATATACTATACATACATACACACACATATATATATACATACACACACACATATATATACATACATATATACATATGCACGAACATACAACTATACATGTACATACATGCACATACGCACACGCAAACATACATACATCGCACATAGCTTAAGCGACAGTGGTCCATAGCACTATCCAGAGATGGTCATCGCAGTAAACTCATTCATACTCATACCCGGAACTATGGAACTTTCGATCAGTATTTCAATACGGGAACTACGGCTTACTCCGCATATGCACCCACATGTATCTACATACATCTAACAATACGCCAACATGAATAACTATATGTACACAAACATTATCAACGCCGATGAACACTACAGTTCTCGTGTGCCCATTGGTACAGAAGTCGCGGCCGCACTAGGGAGTTGATGGCGCATTTGTGCATTGTTTTGATAGGTCTGTTGATACGCATCGCACTCTCGGGTTCTTCACACATACATTTTTCATATGTAGTTTACTATATCAACATGGATGACCAGCAAACAATATACTTATACCTTACAAATACCCTTAAAACAGTCTCGGTATATCACAGGCACACAACGGAACAACTGCTAGACATTGACATTGCCCGGGAATTTACTGGCGCACTTGTGCAGATTATCGATGAGTGGAAGTTCGTACGCACTGCTACACCAAGGTTCCCCTTATATGCAAGCTTGTACGTATTCTTTTTTTCATGACAACATTTACCCTTCATGCAATAACTATAACTCTGTACATAGAAACACACAGTGTCGTATATTCTATCCGCTTACCGGCCGGCACAATAGTCACGGCCTTATCCGGGAATTTAACGGCGCACTTGTGCAGATCATCGATGAGTGGAGTTCGTACGCACTGCTACACTAAGGTTCCCCTTATATGCAAGCTTGTACGTATTCTTTTTTTCATGACAACATTTACTCTTCATGCAATAACTATAACTCTGTGCATAGAAACACACAGTGCCGTATATTCTATCCGCTTACCGGCACAATAGTCACGGCCTTGTCCGGGAATTTAACGGCGCACTTGTGCAGGGCTTTGATGAGCTGGCGTCTGTAGGCATCACTGGTCTCGTTTTCTTCGAATGTCTTTGTGATCTCCTTTCGCAGCAACTGAAGCACTTCCTCCACTACAATCAACGCGTCATTGAACACAGAAGTGGATGTGAGTTGTGGTTCGAGGGTACCCAGATACACAACAGAGATAGTGGAGAAGCAAAATTTATCGAAATGACAAGAAACACCAGAATCGATGTATGTGAATGTGCTCTTGGTCGCTGACCGCATTATACTGAAACTTCCACTGCTAGACATAACAGGAGAGTAGCGTTGGGGTGAAGAATTAATACCATCTCAAAGGTAGAACCAGATACAAACAGCACTTCGCGTGCTCGCACAACTCCCAACATGAAACCTGCAGGTTATAATTAGAAGGATCGACGTCACAAGTTATAACTAGAAGACTCGACGTCACAAGTTATAACTAGAAGACTCGACGTCACCAACCAGTAGCCGCTTATGCACACGAAGGCGTAGGGCTACATCGAAGGTCATGTCATTCAAAACAATAAACTATACCTGAACGGGATGTGACGAGGTTCATCACTATCTCCAGCGTTTGTCTGCGCACCTCCAGATCCGGGGCGTTGAGAACGCGCAGCAGATCCATGACTAAGTCCTGCAGGATCTTCTCAATGTGTGGGTTATTTTGCAGATCCGAAAGCTTCTTCAGCACAATCAGACGGACGTTGTTGTCACTCTCTTTGACCACCAGATCGATGTAGCACGAGACAGCCGCCTGAGCATCAGGGTGAGAGAGAGGGTGGTATGTGAGCGAATATAACCATACAGCCTTATGCCTTGTAAAACACGGGGGTGGATACACACGTATGTGGATGTTCCATGCGAGGTCTGGACATAAAGATAGAACGTGTGTGAACGATCTCATGTGCACTTGGTTTCCCACCGAGCGCGAAATCGCACTAACAATACGGAGTCTAGCAGCCTAAATGATTGTGCTGATGAACCACTTTTTTAGTTAGACGATCGTATTCAAAGATGTACCAGTATAAGCACAGGTAATGTATTCAAATATTTATCAGCATAAGTACAGGTATTGTATTCAAATATTCACGCACATAAGTACAGGTATTATATTCAAGTACGTATCAGCAAAAGTACAGGCATTGTATTCAAATATTGACCAGCATAAGTACAGGCATTGTATTCAAATACTTACGAACAGCACAGGTATTGTATTCAAACATCTGTCAGCATAAGTACAGGCATTGTATTCCAATATTTACCAGTATAAGTGCATGTATTGTATTCAAACATTCACCAGTATAAGCACAAGGTATAAATACAGGTTATAGCCATATTAAGCGGAAGATCTGCCTCCACAAACAAGTACATGTTCATTTTATGCTACGAAAATCCTTTCGCGAGTAGTCCATATAAATTAAATTCATTGTACGGCATAAACAACACGTAAGAATTGGTGTATTCGCGAAAACAAGTTGTTATCACATTATCGGTAGGTCAACAAATATTAGGATGAATACAAGACACGGAAAACTTCGGCGGTCTTGCACATCATGATGTGTAAGTGCTAGCCTTACACAAGAGCATCAGCTTACAACGCAATGCTAAGTAAAACATTAACAGCTTATTCCAACGAGTATAGATACAGAAACACACACACACACACACACATATATATACCCCCGGCGCTCGATGGCAGAGGAGGTGATACACAGAATAGAAGCAAGCTTGCGGACTCGAATCACACAACGGCAGAGTTGAAGTCCAGAAACATACACATACATATATGTGTATGTCTACATATTGTACCTGAGTACAAAACTACATACTAGTACGCACAATCGTATCGGGTCTTATTAACTTGGCGGCGGTTGGGGCGGTAGCCAGGAGACCCAGCACTCTGACGACCTCGGCAGAGTCGGAGGGACAACACAACACAATCGTATGCAACACTATATATACTGGCTGTATCTAATGAAAATTTGCACATAAACCTTCATACACGACACTATCGCAACGGCGGCTGGGGCGGAAGACAGAGTAGCATACTAATTGCACAATATAACTATACGCACAACACTCGCCGCACGGATCAGTACCATGACAGTGGCTGGGGGTGGTAGACAGGGTAGCATACTAATTGCACAATATAACTATACGCACAACACTCGCCGCACGGATCACTACCATGACAGTGGCGTGGGGGTGGTAGACAGGGTAGCATACTAATTGCACAATATAACTATACGCACAACACTCGCCGCACGGATCACTACCATGTCAGTGGTTGGGGGTGGTAGGCAGGGTGATATACCTACCGCAACATACGATACTCACTAAACCATCGCACTGATAGTCTCCTTAACAACACCATATACTAAGCCCCACACAAACATTGCAGCGATCGTTACCTTGACGGCAGTAGGGGCTGTAGATAGAGTCAGAAGCACTCCGGCGGCTTCGTACCGAACAGCGGCCGAGCTAGAGTTCAACAGCATGTATATACACCGTATGAACTTGGCTCTCTCCGCTGGGTTGGTGCGACACACTTTGTAGACCAGTTCAATCACGACCAGTTGCAGAATATCGCCAAAGCTGGGGACCTGGGATGAAGTGAAGTGTGGTGTATGGGGGTGGCATAAGTATTTATATAGAAATGTATGAATTAAAACACACATACATTGGAATATTAGTGTGTATACAGAAATAAGTATGAAGGAATGAAATTGAGAGAGTCGATGTAGGGATTATGACTGCGGACGTAAACGTGTATATTAACTCAACTAATTGAACAACCTAACCGAAGCTGGTGTCGAATGGAGACCAATCGTATCGATAGAGACAAAATACAGTAGAAAAATACTAGGCGAATTTGAGACAAATTAGTTGAAATTATTTGACACTTCAGACAATCATCCACAGATGTAGAAAATCAGCCGAGCCGATATTTACACATTAAAACGTACGTCATACAAGCATATATATTTATATATATAGAGGTATAGATACATACATATAAATACATACATTCACAAACACACACACACACACATGTATATATATACTTATGATACATTCACATGCAAATACCCATGAAAATATGGATCTGGTTATGTATATAGATGTAAATTAGTATAAACAAAGATATGAGTTTATACTATATTCGTAAACAAGAAGATGAAAACGAACCCCAACCCCCCCCACAATATGTATATATACATATATACATACATACAAATATATACACACACATATATATATGTATATATACATATATACATACATGTAATGATGCGCATACATATACTAAAACACACATATAGGTACACTGAACAATAAAATACGTATACATGCGTAATATTTACTTAGACAACTTTTTGCCTCTGTTTGTATGACTCGTAGCAGTTATGCATATAATTTTCGACCTGTAAATTTCGAACAAATGTAATTCGATGTAAAAATCAAAGTACGCAGATATGCAACAGACATATATCTAAAACCAGAATAACGAAAGAAAAAAAAGTTGCTAAGTGTATTGTTGGACTACACAATACGTGCACTTGACATGCGATATACATTCATACAAGCAGAAAGGCGTGCATGTGCAAACCTGTTTAGGAATAGACATGTACACATATATTATCGTGTGTACTAAATATGCATAGAAATGTATATGGCACACAGTATATATGTGTGCACAACAGCATACATATATCAATAAGGAACGTATATCTTAATTATTTGATGGAGTAGGAATATTTAACGATATACCTACATCATCAAGCACATGCAATCATATAGGTAAAAGTACAGTGTATGTATATGTGAACGATTTATGTATATATATTTTTTTAAAATAGGCACTTGTATATAAGGTATATGTAAGAACACATACACATAGATGGACAAACACAAACCATGTTGATCAATTTATTCACAATTTAAACTCGTGCAAGACTTGTCGGTATTATTATGTATATGTAAACAATATACATGCACATGCAAGTACATATACCCAACACAAACAGAGAAATATCCACATACACGCACTCACAGATTGTTATGACAACATGTACAAATACGTATATCTGTATCTATTATGGATATGTATTTGCAAATAAAAATGATTTGAAGTATATGCAGTTGCACATGTGTGCGTGCACTGCAAAATATCTACAGGTTCGGCTGGTACAGATTTATAAATATATTTTTATCATTGCGTATATAAACAATACATCTATATATATATATATATATCCAGAAATAGTACAATACAATCAGATGTATAGATATACATAAATGTATGTGTACATCATCACCCATACCCCCACACCCACACCCACATATATATATATATATACATACATCCGTACATAAACACATACATACACACACACACACATATATATATATACATGCGTAAATTTACTCATTTGAAAATCTACATACACCTTTGTATATGATTTGCTTATATGATTTGTTACATAATATATATGTATATGTATTAATGTATGTATATATGTATTTATGTCCTATATATATATATATGCATATACATATAGATGCATATATATTACGTCTACATGCACATTTTATACGAGAGCACACGTTTATCTTGAATCCTACTATTTCCTTCACTTACCTGATCAATACATGTGCCTAAGAACTCCAGCGCCTTGTCCTTATCTGCATATACCAGCATCATAAATGCGTTACGCTTTACTGTCATGTCCGGTTCGTTCACCAGGCAATTGTACACCACCTCGGGTGCGTCGGGCATGAGGAAGTCGAACTGTTTGTATAGCGTATATATACACAACACCGCATTTCGCCTCACATAGTAGTGTCTGTGTTCTAAGCACGACTTAATACTGGGCATAAGAGGCTCTAAGAGTTCACTCTCCTTAAGCTTACACAGAAAACGCAGGGTTGAACCCCGCACAAACTCATTGGGAGATACCAAGTCCTTACGGTATGCATCGCACACAAGGATCATCTGTGGCAAAAGCTTGCCATCGGTTCCCAACTTGGGCACAATCTCAAAGTACAGTAGAAGCATCTTCTTGATGGCATGCTCCTTCATCGGCAGAATAAACCGGATAATCTGCATGAGAATAGTGGGGTACTTCTCCCCTCTGAGCATACCACGCACACATGCCTGCAGTGCATCTACCTTCTGTGCTACTGTGCCCTTCTCAAAGGCTACACGTAAATCTGCTTCCGGGATGTTCTCCTCGTCCGCTGACCCACTTACGAGCGTGTAGCAGGGAAGCTCAGCTGCACTACTCATGGTGAATTCCTAATAATATACACTAAGTACACGAACAGTAAAGTATCTACTTGAGTATCTATATATATATATATATATATATATATATATATATATATATATGTATGTATATATATATATATATATATATATATATATATATATATATATATATATATATATATATATATATATATATATATATATATATATATATATATA